TTTTTTTTTTTTTTTTAAAGATTTTTGTGCCATTGGGCACATATGCTTGTGAGAGAGAGAGAGACAGATAGACAGACAGACAGACAGAGGCAGTAAGAGGGAAAGTGAGGAATCACCCCCCAGGGGGATGGCTATGTTGCAGTTCCTTCTCCTCCATTCTCCTCCCGAGATCTTGGGCATGCATGCACATGTGCCCAGCGTGATTTCCAAGCCACTGTAGTCATCCATGCGGGAGACCAGTGATGTAAACACTACACCACCTGCTGGCCCCCATTTGTAGCTTCTTAAACCCAAATTTGTGAGCTGGAGCTGGGATTTGTGAGCTAGAGCTGGCATTAGAGGTCATTAAAGGTTGCCCTTTTTTTCTGAGCTGGAGGTGGGAAAGCACAAGAAGGTACAAGGAGAGAGGCAGCCGGGGTCCCCAGCCAGCAAGCTCCTGCCAATTTCATAGGTTGTAGGTAGGACTGAGGCAATCCAGGTAAAGGGCCCTGCGTAGTGTCCAGCACATGGCAGGCTCCCAGTTAAAGTTGGTGGCGGCTGTCAACACGTACATATTGTGGGGCCAGCTCTGAACTCACAGGGCCTCCTGTCTCTTGCCTAGAACACATCTTTTGAGACTTTGGTATCATCTACTTGTCTTTCCTATTAAGCCATAAGGAACTTCCTGGCCAGGTACCATGTTCTGACAAGCTTTGCACATCCTCCACAGCACCCACTGGGTTTCCTTAAACCCTCCTTTTCATCTTTCATCATGCCAGAGACCAGTTGCCTTACAATAATTATTCACGGCAGGGTCTTGCCAACTGAATTGCAGGCACCTCAAGGGCAGAGACTGAAAAAAAATTTTTTTGGAGAGGTTTTTGCTATAGGCACGTGTGCTCACCAGAAAGACAGAGAGAGACAGAGAGACAGAAAGTGAGAAATCATCCCCTAGGGGGGATGGCCAGGCTGCAATCCCTTCTCCTCCATCCTCCTCTCAGGATCTTGGGCATACACACGTACACACCTGGGCTTGAGTTTAAGTCACTGGGTCTGGGACTCAAACTGCGGTCAACTACATGGGAGTCCAGCGACACAGCCATTACACCAACTGCTGGTCCCAAGACGGAATCTTTTCATCTGTGCACAGAAATATGCACTCTTAGTTTGGCCCTGCTTCAAGGCCTTAGTACTTGCTATTCCCTTTACTTGATACTCATTGCCCAGTTCACATGTCAAATGTCAGTTCTGCAGGTGGCTCTCTTTGTCACCGTTACTGCTGCCACTCCACATTCTGTCACACTATTTTATTTTATGTTTATTTATTGATTTTTTATTTATTTATTCTTTTGGAGAGGTTTTTGCTATAGGGCGCATGCGCTCGCCAGAAAGCCAGAGAGAGACAGAGAGACAGAAAGTGAGAAATCACCCCCCCCCAGG